TATATATATATATATATATATATATATATACACACACACATATATATGTATGTAGGCTTTTCTCCATTGGCTCCCTGTCAAGTCCAAAATTTAATTCAAAATCTTACTTCTAATCTATAAACTCTTTGAAATGTTGACTGAGAACTAACCAGAGGTGCACTCATATGTAGGTAATTGTCTATTTTGTTATGTCATCATATCTTTATTATAATTTCATGTTGTATTATATACAGTAGGTGATGTTTGTATTATTCTCTACTCTTTGTGCGGGCTGTTTCTTGTTCTTGCCATAGGACAACGAATGAAAATTAGATGTTGTGCTAACTCTAGCATATTTACATTGATGCTAACTGCTGACATGTTGTATTGTCCTAATTTAAATAAATAAATTAAATTAAAGCCCTTAACAACCTAGCTCCATCTTATGTTGGAGATCTTATTGTTCCATATTTTCCTAATGGAGCACTTAGCTCTCACAATGAAGGCTTACTCATGGTTCTTAAGAGTTTCTAAAAGCAGAATGGGAGGAAGTTATCAGGCTCCTCTCTTGTGGAACTAACTTCCAGTTTCTGTCCATGAGACTGACACATTGTCTAGTTTTAAGACTAGTCTTAAGACTTTCCTTTTTTATAAATCCTATAGTTAGGGTTGGCTTGTTATGCTACCATAGGCTTAGACTACTGGAGGACAAATTGACCTAATTTCTTAAAATGAATTGTTAAAATTGAATAGTTTTCATTTGATACTATTTCTATCATGTGATTCTTGACCTGCCATTATGTATCTGTTCCTCCTTCCTGTTCCTACCAAACCCAGCTGGTTAAAGCAGATGCTGCATGTCCCGAGTCTGGTTCTACTAAAGGTTTCTTCCTCATGAGGGAGTTTTACCTTACCACTGTCACCTTTGTGCTTGCTCAAGATGAGAGTTCTGCAATGGAGTTAAACTTAAACGGTCTGCTCCTCAGATAAATAGTGTTGAATTATTATTTTTATATATGAATGTTTCTGTTCAGTGCCCTGACATGACTTCTGTTGTGACTTGGTGCTATATAAACTGAATTGAATTGAAAAAAAACAGGATAATTGAAAAACAAATATTATAAATATGCAGACGTATTACATTTTGCAAGCATGCTGTCACCTCTCTGCCTCATGTGAGCTGCAATTGAATTCTTAGAGAAAAATTACAATAAACTGATACCAGACAGAAGCATCAATGATGATGATCATCTTCATCAACAATTTCTTTCTACCTATTGACTACAGTTCTAGTAATTTAGTAAAAATATTTGAATATTCAACTGTGAATCCATTTTGTCCAAACCCATTCTAAATCTAATGTAGGGTGGGGGTTTTCTTAACATGAATACAATATTTTTATACACAGCTTTTGCAGTGTTCTGAAGTAATGTATGCCATCTATGTTTTAGATAAACACTGATTTTTTAAAATAGTATGGTCTTTACATTTGTTCTTCACAGGCAACCGGGGGAATGCTAAACATAAGTGGGAAGACACAGAGATTCGTGCGGTTGAAAAACACATGATGAATTTCGTCCACACATGCAAGGTACCTCAGAAAATACACTTCCTTCAGTGCATCAAGCAGAGCCAAATGTACTTGAGGACAGAAACTGGACTGGGTAAAAAATTGTCAGAAACCGGATCACTGCCTTGAAGAGACTGGCTTGTGCCAAAGAATTATTATAGTTGTTTGTGATTTTCAGCCTAGTTTAGACATTTTGACATGTTGTATTAAATTTAATCAAGTATGTAGATTTTTTTAATGATAGCACTTTTTCCTCCTCTTTCTTCTCTGCTGCTTTTCTTGATGTAATATTTGAGGTTTGAGCAGAAAAGGGATCATCTGAACATTTTTTGAAGTGATAATGTGTCAAAATAGTTTTCAATAGTTGGTATCTTATTTGCTGAAACATCAGTCATGGATCACAGAGTATGGAGAAAGACTTATGTCTTCATCTGGATTAGGCTACTGGGTAGCCAAATGAGTACCAGTTTTTCTTTTTTCTTTTTCAGACTTGCAAAACTACTTCCTCAAAAATAACACACAGATGTGAAAGAATTTGCATTAGTTAATTAAATTCAATGCACTTTTGCATGACAGTTTGTTTTCAGTTTATATGCTGAGCATAAACTTTTATTTGCCTGTAATGATGAAGTGGCAAATGTATCAATCTGACTGATAAGTACGTTTAGTCAGTCCAAAAGTTTGCTCATCTTCTGGTAGAATAATACATTCAGCAGCCTTCGCATCAGTAGTATATGCATGGTCTATCTATGCTCTGCACACAAACATATGCATAGTAATATGGACATCGACTGAGAATAAAGTGACAAACTTTATTAACAAAATGGTGCCATCCAAAAGTTTAAGGGTTTAATATTAGGTAATGTAGCATTCTTTGACACAAGTGTGTTGTTTTTGAGAAAGTTGTTTTATAGAATAAAAAAAACACCTTGTTTGTTAACCATTTGCCTAGCCTTGACAAAGACGTCTATTTTCTACATACTTTGTGCTCTATGATGGATGTCACAGCTGACAAGGTACTAACTATTCATAACAATTTCACTGAAAATTACCTCAAAAGTTATTAGACTATCTTTTTATTTGTTGGTAAAGACACTTGCATCAATGCAGAACCCTATGCACTTAAGGACTGAAACTAGACTGGTGTTAAAAAAATGTATCAAAAATTGAATGTGTGAATTGAATTGTGTGCCAAATAATGATTGTAGTTTTTGTTTTGATGTAATACTTGAAATGAATATGTTGAATACAAAACACTTTTTAGCCAGTGAAAGTGTATTTTTGTTGCCCAAAGCCTGTCCTGATGATTCATGCTCTTTTCCAATGTTTATTTGAACTGCAGAGCATTTCAACAGTGTTCTGAAATTTAGTAAAAAAGTTACTAAGCATTTTATTGTTGGAATTATTTTTCTTTTGCTTGTATTTCTTGGGCTGACATTAAGTCTCAAATTTCACATGATTTAATACTAAACAAATCTGAAATAAGACTATAAATTTGTTAAACATTTTGAAAAAATATTTTGATATATAAAACATAGTGATTTAACCAATCATCTGTAGCCTGAAGCAGGTCCATAAAATCCAATAGGCTGGTAACTAGTTAAAAAAATTAAACTACAAAAAATTAGGAAGAATTTATATATATAAAAAATGAAAATACATTTATTTATGATTTTCATTTATTGAAAAAAAATTATTTCAAGAGGGTGATATAGAAGAATACTTTTTTGGGAAAACATCTTGTAAACATATTCAATAAATAAATATTCAATTAAAAAATCATATGCAAGTGCTGTGCTTGAGCAGAAGTAAAATGTAAAACATCAATGTCAGAGGCCCAACTATGTCAGTATGTTGTGTGAACTAAAACAGAGTTGATCACACATTAACAGAAGTGGCTCAGAATTGGTTCAAACAGTGGTCTTTGAGTTTGTGCAGATTATCTAACTTCAGACTGGATAACAGATCTATGAACCAAATTAAGGTAAAATAAAAACTACTTTTGGCACAAAGCTAAACAATAGAGTTCTTAAAGATAAAAGGAAATTTTAATCTTGATGATCTAGAGTACTTTCTGTATGTCTTCACATTTGCATTGCTGCTTGTACAGTATATTGTGCAACATTTCTTTTAGGGTTGTATTAAGCAAGGTTTCCCCAATTCAAAAGTCGAGAACAACTGGCCAGGTCAATATAAACTAATACAAGGTTGCATATTTGTAATACACTGTTTTGTTCATATTACATATGTTTTGAAATAGCTATAGATAAAACAATGACTAGTCCCCAAAGGGATTTAAGGTACCCAAAGGTGACTTTAATCAGTTTGTGTATCTGTGTAAAACTGTATAAAACTTTCTTAGATGAAGAACTTTACTAATTGGCTTTTCTATGTATGTGAATGTTCCTGTAAATCATCCTGAGACAACTTTGTTGTGATTTGGTGCTATATAAATTAACTGAATTGAACTGAATTGAATTAAAGTCCCCAAAGGGTCATAAGGTACCCAAAGGTGACTTTAACCAGTTTATGTATCTGTGTAAATCTTAAGTCCCCAAAGGGATATAAGGTACCCAAAGGTGACTTTAATCAGTTTGTGTATCTGTGTAAAACTCAAGTCCCCAAAGTGGACTTAAAAATTCCCTGGTCCCCAATGTGAAGGCAAAAAAATAATTTTATCAAAAAAGGATTTAAACAAAATTTTCAGGTGACATTTGTTTTCTGTAAATTTAGAGTAAAAAAAATCACATAGCAGTTTGTCCCTAACCCATTCAGAAAGGGGTGTCCCCTAAGGTAGGTAGTTAAAATATGCGCCCCCAATTTGGACATAAGCAAACCATGGTGTGTGTGTGTGTGTGTGTGTGTGTGTGTGTGTGTGTGTGTGTGTG